TATGAGAGCACGCGCATTTGTTGTGTTCCCGAAGTATTTCATCTTCATTTTACAAACCTTGCACACAATAAAGCTCATGTCAAGCTCGATCTTCCCCGGCGTTTGGTAAAAACCAACAAAGACGGGACCGGTTGAATCTTTCCTCCATTTGTTTTGAAACTTTCTGCGGCATGCATATGTCCGAGAACCTGCTGCGTGGTGATGTCTCGCGTAATTTTGTAATTACGTGAGACTTCACCACGACTTCAGGGGAGACTTCAATGTATTAGTTTTATTTTTTAGAATCGATTTTGGGACATTTTAAATTGATTTTGAATCGTAATGACAATCTAGATTCTTATGTGAATCGATTTTTTTTTTGGCACACCTCTACTTTTATACATGGAGTTGCAGATAAAAAATGATTTATCAGTATAATGACTGCAAATTTGGAACAAATACAAGAAATAAAATAAAAAAGAACACTTCTGAAAGCATTGGTTCTGGATTTTAGCCTTCTCTTGGTAATATGAATACAATGGACTTGTGTACCGAGCAACATCAACAGTAAACTGAATGATGGTTTAGAAACTTAAGTTTTTCTGCTGAGTTTTATTGAAAACTTTAGCATACATTCCAGAGAACATTTTCCATCATTTCTCCTGGCTTCATTGACTTTTTCCCACTAAATATGTTGGCCTCAGTATTTTGGCACCCTGGCGGATGTTTTGCCATCGGCTTTCTATTGGCTACATTAGTAGGGAAAGATTGAACTGGAGTGTCTTGAAGGAGGTGGCCTGTTGAATGTCTTTCCACCCTCTCCTTTTCTTTGGGACCCTCTATGGACCCTCCTTGTGTTCCCTGCCCAACCCTTTTCCCCGCCAGAGGAGTGAGTGGATCAGGAAGGGCCCGATAGCCAGCCAGACCGCTCCTCTGCTGAAGGAGCCTTATCTCAGAGCTGCACACTGCATTGAGCGCATCCTTTTCCTGGGGTTTTGCGTCTGGTAGGAGAGAAGGAGGAGGTATGGGGGGTGGCGGGGCAGACACGGCTTGATATAGGTGTGTTTTCCAACCTTCCACTCGTCAACCGTGCCTATTTTTACCATACTTTTTAGAATCTCTGCAATTACGTTAACTAATTCAGTTAATTTGCAAAATTCTTTCTAAGTGAATCAAGTTAAATCACTCTTGGAATAAAGTAATAGTTGGAAAATTTACCTCCACTAACTGGTAGTTTTGAATCTGTTCTTTCTTCCAATAATTGTTCTGTTGTTACCATTTTCTCCAAACTGGGTTTTATATGACGTTCATATAGAGTTCAGTGATGCTCATTAATTTACCGAAGAAATAATATGCCAAATAGAGTTAAAAATGACTGAAAACAAACAGAAACCTCTCCAAACTTTGCTCCTCAGTTTTTTTTTTTTTTTTTTATTAACATGTTGCCCTCTGTGATGCACACTAAGAAAGCTCTCCAGGGCTGCCAGTAATGCTGACTGGAGCTGTATGTGTTGCTGTCCAGCCTGTGCACAGCACAGCATTTCTTCTGCTGTCAGATCAGAGTCTAATGGAATCCCCAGGCATTGAGGAACAGCCACATACTGAGCTCAAGCCACCTTTTCCTGATGATGAAGACGATGTTTCTCTCAGTCACTCTCCCCTTTTTTTCTTCCCTTGCTCATTCAGCCTCTTCCTCTCCTGAGAGTAATTTCACAGGCAGTTCTAAAGTGGCCCCCAGCCAGCTTCCCAAATCCCAGTTACATGTTGTTTGGTGCTGTCAGCTCTAACCCTCATCTTCACTATCCCAAGCAGAGGGGATGCCATTGTGCAGTTAACAGGGAGTATAGATTTTTAGTGGAAAGCTGGAAAGTTTTGTTTAATGGCACCGCACCTGAAGGGCCTTATATTCCTCTTGTTAGAAGTTCTAGTTGTCTAGTCAAGGTTTGCGTTGAGGAAAACTTTGTTTAGCCCCAATCATGCTGTTCAATTCCATCTAAAGTCTGACACACAGGGCAGTTTCAAAAATATTGTGAAAGACACGAGCATGTCACATAGTTTTTATTGTTGTTTTTCTTTTGGTTGCTCCCCTTTGCAGGCATTGCCACAGCAAACAAACTGCAGCCTGTGGATTACAAGATGGCGGCACGGAGCTACCGCAGCCACCGAGCATGTCACATTGTGTTGGCTTGATTTTTATAGAAGCTTGATTGTGACTCTCAACGAATAGTGGCTGGTATTTTTTTTCTTTCTTTCTTTCTTTCTTTCTTTCTTTCTTTCTTTTCTTTTCTTTCTTTTTTTTTTTTGGTGCTGTAGAATCAAGTCAGAACACAAACATCTCACTGAAACATCACTCCAACATTACATAAAAAGAGCATCAGCGTTCAGATTGGAGTCAGACAAAGACAGATGAGGGAAAGAAGGAAGAGGAGTAAAAGGTGAATGTGGTCAAGGCTGGGGAAAATGTCTCCCTCAGCAGCAGTCGCATGTACAATATTTCCAGAATTTTCTAATAACATTTGATTTGTTGTAGGACCCTTGTGGCAGGACATCAGTGACCCTGTCGCTAAACGACCACTGATTCAAAACCATGACCAAAGACTTGCTTGCAAGTTTTTTCAGAACATGACTTCAGCATGAAAACATTTTTTTCTTCTATTTTTCTGTTTTCTTAAAAAAAAGCTTAATTTCTATGAATAAATTGCTCATTATAGGTGATTTTCAGTTTGAGTTACAGTATGTATTAATAAAACCTGAATGCTTTTTTATTTATTTATTTTTTCAGTTAAAAACCAACCACTGAGTGAAGAGGTGAATCAAAACAATGAAGGGGCAAAAGAGGAAGCTCAATGACACAAACATTTACAGTTTAGATTATGGTCCATTACATGGATCCATCTCTATATTTTTTATTTATATTATAAATAATGGTAGCTTTACTCTTGAAACTTTTTAGTCAATACAGATTTTAATAATGGATAGGCGACCAAGTTAAAATAATCCATACAACGGCTTTTTCTCTCTTATTTTTTAACATTTTTATGCGTACTATGATTATCATCTCGTCCTGATTCAACGCTGACGCTCAGTCGCGTAATCTGAATGTAAAAGTTTAAAGTCCGAACAATGAGACAACTCCACAAAGCTCAGTGTTTTCAGTTTATCTGTAATCTGTAGTGTTTGAAAAAATTCCATCCACTTTACCATCTGAGATAATTCACGGAGCGGCAGCATTGTTTAGTGTGATTCTCCAGAGGAGCTTCTGTATTCTTCTGGACAAATCATTATGCATTGAGTAGGCCATTAGGAAAATGAAGACAAATGGGTCACAGGGGCGAGGTGACAAATTGTACATGCTGTGGAGGTAAAATCTGGATCGTGTTGTTCCTAACAGTTGTAAAGTTGGCCTGGTTTAATGTGTAGCCCAGAGGTTGGAGCGATGATTTTATCATCACTTTATTTTGTCCTGGATTCTAGAAGAGAAAGCTGCCATTGTTTGATACACTTTAAAACTTTTACAATAAATGTAGAAACATCGTCCTGACTTATTTTTCTTTAAGTGCAGCAGTTATTTTGATTCTGTTTGAAATGGATCTAGCACTTTTTCTAGCCAACCATTTTCTTTACCCACTAGTTCCTTTTAGGGTCATTGGGTGCTGAGGTGGAGTACACCCTGCTCAGGTCCATCACAGGGACACATAGGCCTTTTTGCACTGCAAGACCTGACTTCAAACACAGAATCCGAGTGTTTGCATTAGCCTTTGTGGCCCAGTTCCACCCTGATTTTTGGAACCCCGAGACCCGTGGTTATATCTGGGTGGACTGCTCTGCCTAATTTCATGTCAGCTACTGTTGCTCATTGATTGGTTCACTGACTGGGGGGGTTACGTCACACAGATGAGCATAACTTGAATTGTTTACACGGCTAGCTTTCGTTTAATGCAAGTTTAACTACAGTATAGCAAGCTACCAAACAACAACAAGCTAACATTAGCTACCATTAGCTTCCCATTCCATCATCTTGCCTCTTGTCTTCAGCATCGAACTGCTGGATGGTCCACTATAGTCTTTTCCTTCAAGCTTGATTAATGTTGTGTTGCAAATAAAATGAAATAAGATTCTTGTGTTTAATATTTATGATCCCACCCACGTGTCTGCTCGATCCAAACGCAACCAGAGCTGAGGTAGAGTAAGGCCAGTTCGAGGCCGAGCCAGGCCTTACAATGCAAAAATGCCTATAGAGACACAAGACAGACCATTCACACTTTCATTCACACCTGGTGAGAGTTTAGAGTTGCCAGTTCATCTGACCTGCATGTTATTGTGTATTACAGATAAATTGTCTAAAAAGTTAAATGACATTATATTATGTGACAGTGCGTGGTCAGCAATATTTGTAAGTTAGAGTTGTGTGACAAAAGAGCACATTTTCACAAAAAAGTGCTTATTATGTTATGAGAAAATTCCTATTTTGCCCCCTTTAACCAAATCCTTAATTTTCACACACCTCTTTACTGAAATGTTTATTCTATAAAAGCAGAAATGGGCTTCCCAAAAAAGTCGCCAAGGTTTTGGATGAGATGGATTGGTTGAAGTGAATTTTATTTTGTTTTCTGTCAGTGGGAATGTGCTGACAGACGCAGTGGATTTAGTTTTATTTTTGTCTGAAAATCAAGAAAAATCAAGCTTCAGCTACGGCTTACTTTAATAGTAAAGAAGCATTACAAAAGATGACAGTTTGAAGCTGACTGTGCAAACAAACCTGTCTGGATGTGTAAAACTAGTGTTGTAAGAAATGGATGATAATTGTCAGAAACATGACAGTTCTGTTGACAGTGCTTCCTTTAAGACATCTATTGTTTTATCAGCCCACTATTTTAGGCTTTTCTTTCAAGAAAGACTGTTGGTATGTTCTTTGGGTGGTGACTGAAAACCATTTAAGCTCCTTGGTTTAAAATGGTGAGCTGTCTTTGTGCAGATTCTCTAAAGCCTAAACTCTGTCTTCTTGTGTGTTTTCGGTTTAGGAGAGCAGCAAAACTAATTCCTCAGATGAGTCTGTGGAGAGCGGGACTCCTCCCCCTGAACAGGACACAGAGCTCATCACAAAGACTGTGACCAGCTCTCTGAGCATGCACGAGTATTTTGCACAGCGTATGGCTCGATTGAAGGCGGCTCGTGGAGCTGAAGCTACTGCACCTTCGGTGGAGGCGGAGGCTACAGAGACATCCGGTCCTGGCAAAGAACTCAGTCCAGTCAACAGCAATGACGATACTGAAGAGCCCAAAAGGAAGAAAAAGAAGAAGAACAAAAAGCCTGTGGAGGATGTAGAAGTTATAGAAGAAAAATGCATTGGTCCTGTAGTAGTAGAAATAGATGACGACAACCAGGAGGAAGAGAGATCGAGGAGGAAGAAGAAGAAGAAGAGAAAAACTGCAGAACATGACAATAATGCAAATGAAAACTGTACCTCCATGAATGTTCTGGAGAACTGTCAAGAACTGTGCTCCTCCAGGAAAACGAAACTTAAAAAGCGTGAGCATTTAAACGGACACGAGCCAACAGAGAATAAATCTGGAGAGTCCGAGCTCACGCAGGATGAAAAGAAAAACCACAAACAGGACGATGCAGGAGAAGAATATAATGAGCTGGTAGTCAAGAAATCCAAAAAGAAAAAAAGAAAGCAGGAACATCAAGAGTAAAATAAAGCTATGCATTAGGATAAAGTTGTCTAATTAAAAACACTTTAGGCAATTCAGATGTCTTGAACATAAAATCCTTAAAGTGGTTCAGTGAAAATGCTGAAATGAAATTAACTTTTAATCTGTTTTAGTCTCATTACATATGACTGCATTCACAACTTAGTTATATAAAAAGATTTAAAGTGACATGGCATTCTGTTCAACCCGTTTTTCATAAAACTGTAAAAAGAATTAAATTCCTGCATTTAAAATATCTGCTTTCATTTAATTAAAATGAAGCTGTTTCCTGCTATTGTACAATACAGGGGAAATATATTTTACAATCATACTTTAGTGTGTTACCACTATGTATGTGCTCAAATAACATCACAATTCAGATTGCTCAGTTGACTGTACATTATTTTTTGTCAGATATTAAAAAATGAAAAGGATAAAAAGTGGTTTATGCTATGTGACAGATGAAATTTATTTCTGTAAATCTTGGAATGAGTTCAGTCTTGATGATTTTGATCTTTTGAAAATCTGAAAAATAATATAGCTGGATTCATTTTTTAAAATAAAACCTACAGTCTCACAAGTTTGACTTTTTGTTTTGTCTCCTAGTTAAATGTTTCCTAATTTGGGAAACTTTTTTTTTCTGGCGATGGAATTCTTATGCAAGTTGTTCAGCTGTACATGTAAAACTGTACCAATGAATCACGTGGCGTTTGTGACGGTCACTACGCCACCACATGAAGTAATGCAACTTGTCACGGCTTCTCTAACGTTAAAAAAAACCTTCAACAAGACCGTCTTGTTTAACTCCTCCATGCGATGAGTCAAAGGACGAATAGGTCGACTTCAGGTGTCCAGTCTTGCACACGAAAACATTTTAGCACACCTTTTTTGCTTTTAGAGTTTCAATGTTTTGAAATAATCCGAAACAAAGTTTGACTCATCTTTTAGGAATCCTGTTTAGTTTATTCATTCTTTTCTTCAAAAACAACATAAATTCAACAACAAACAAAAAAATACAAATTACAATTTAAATGAAAGGTAGCAGAAGAAGAAAAATTCTTATATCTGCCCCTTTTTCTCAAAAGAAAATTTCAATCAAAAATTATCTACAGTTTACAAAAAAGAAAAGGAAAAAAAATAAAAGTGTAAATCCTTGAACAACAATTCATACATTTACATATTTCTCCAGCAAATTAACCTTTATCATTCTCTTAAACATGCATATTGATCTGGCATTTTTAATGTCATCTTCCAGATTATTCCATAATTTTATTCCCTGGACTGAAGTACTCCGTTCCTTTAAACTTGTTCTAACTTTAGGTCTTACAAACATTTCTATCCCCTTGAGATTATAGCAACTCTCTTTTAATAGTGCAACTGAATGTTTGAAGGTAATGTGTTTTTATGAGCCCTATACATACAGTAACTGATAAAATACCATAGTTAACCAAATCATAGAATTTCAATAACTTTGACTGATGAAACAATGAATTTGATGGGTGATAGTAATGCTTTCTGGTGATGATTCTTAAGTCTCTTTTCTGTAAATAGAAATATGATTTGATGAGGTCTCCATGTCAGCTTCTCATCAATGATGACACCCAAAAAACTTCACCTCACTGACTAGATCTCAATACCATCAACTCTAAATGGAAAATCAACAGTTTTCTTTCTGTTACCGAATATCATATAATTTGTCTTATCTAAATTTAATGATAATTTATTGAGTTGAAACAAAGTTTGTATTCTAACAAATTCTGTCTGCATCACCACCAACATCCGTTCTATATCTTTACCAAAACAAAAGAATGTTGCATCGTCTGCAAATAAAACACATTTGAACAACCCTGACACATTTACCAAATCATTTACAAACAAAATAAAAAGCTTTGGCCCAAGTACAGAACCCTGAGGCACACCGCATATGATATTACTTAATTCAGATCTTACATTATTTATTTGTACAAACTGTCTTCTATCTTTCAAATAGCTAGTATACCCACTGTAGTGCTGGACCTCTAATGCCGTATTTGTTCAATTTTTCTAGAAGAATTCTGTGATCAATGGTGTCGAAAGTTTTCTTTAAGTCAACATAAACACTAACACAGTATTGTTTTTGATCAACATCAGTTGCTATTTGCTCTACTAAGTCCATGAGGGCCATTGATGTGGAATTATTAGTTCTAAACCCATATTGACTACTACTTAATATATTATGTTTATCGATAAATTGATCTAATCTAGTCACAAATTACTTTTCCAGAATTTTTGAAAACTGCGGTAACAATGATATTGGTCTGTAATTGTTAAACATATTTCTCACCACTCTTATAGAGAGGGATGACCTTGGCTGTCTTCCTGTAATCAGGAAATATTTCTGTTGAAAATGATAAGTTACATATACTGTATATGTGAATGTGAACAGTTCAATCACATAACCCGTTATTTCTTTCACTAACATCATATCCATGTCCATCCAGTCTTTTGATCTGTTGTCTGCAAGATGTTTTACAATATTCATTATCTCTTCTTTATCAGTTCCATCAAGAAAAATACTGTTACTACAATCCATCACTGTATGGCCCACACTTTTATCTACTTTTGAAAGGGATGAAAATGTTCTCATCCTTGAGAGAGGAACGTTGGTTTGAGAGAGGAGTAAAGGAAGCCATTTTTGTGAAGAAAAACCGTCCACCATTAAACAGAGGTGGAGGCCCTCGTGCCCAGTTGTCCTCCTCCTACAATGCTCTTATTGCAAGTATGACTCAGCCCCCTGTGAGCAAAAGGTGTGAATCAGGGCCCCAGTGATACCAACACAAAGATGGAAAGAGAGGCAAAAACAAGGGGCCGTTGAACCCCGCTTGCACTCACTACTTACACATAACATGACACCAAATAACCACAGCTGAAGCATCCAAACCAATAAGTCAGGTGATGGGGCACATGACCCTCAATTGAGCTAATCAAGCCTATTGTTAGGCCATGGCCCTCTTTTGCATGTGATTAACCTGTTTGTCCATGTGGAGGCAGTGCTTATAAGGCTGAGTTCACCTGAAACTCATCAGACTGAAGAAGTCTCTTGGAGGAGAGATGAAACGTTTCACTAAAGAAGAATCATCCAGAGGATCTACTTATTTTTTTCTTTTTGATTTTTTTCTACCTGGATTACTGAGATGCATCAGGACGATTACGGTAAATAAATTCCCTTTTCACATTATATAGGTATCCCCCTTAGCTACCTTTAAATCAGACTGAGTTATGTTTTGTTTTCTAAGGTTAGTTATTTGTAACGACCATGTTGGCCTCATAGCCATGAGAACGTGTGGCCATGGGGTAACATAGCCACGAGATAACACGTAGCTATGAGAACACAAAGCCACGAGATGACATGTTACCACGATCTAAATAATGCAAAGCCACAAGAATGCAAAGCTACATCATAAATAATGCATAGCGATGAGAACGCGTATACGACATAACTCCTGGCCTTGAGATTTTTTTTTCCATTATCACTGGACAAGCTCTACATTTCAGGTCCTTTCGATATTTTCAAAATCACTGAATAAGAGACTATTTTTTCCATGTCAATTATTCATCAGCAGTGGTGAGCATTGTGTTATTTGTCCCAAACCAAATTGTCTCATCCTCAATAACACCAATCTTTCTATATCTTTATCTTTATATCTTTCTCTATAATCTTTATGTAAATGTAGAATTCTGTCCCTTTTTGTCCTCTTTCAAAAAGCGCAGTCCCTGTAGCATGATGTGCAACTCAAATATTCATTTTGTTTCACTTCTGAGTGAAAGTAATTACTCATTTGTAGTACTGAGCTATTATTTACAGGTGCATTTTATGTGGTGGCTCAAGAACGCAGGTGAGTTCTGTTTTGTTATTTATATAAATTGAGGAACTAATTAGTCACGTTGTAAAAAATAAGTGTTGATGTCCACATTCCTAAAATCTTGGGCTTTAAATTTCAGGTTGGCAGTAACAATACAGATCAGAAAAAAGAGATTTTGATGTATTTTTTTAAGTTATTACAATACTTGTAGACTGTTAACCAACATCTGACCCAGGAAGCTGTTTTACTGAATGAGTAAACAGACTGGTAAACTCCCACACTTGAAGAAAAATGCAGTGGCTCAACTTCTAGTAGTTTTCAAGAGTTCAATCAACTTTCCAGCTCAACAACTAATGACTAATTATGAGGCTATTTTAGTTTAAGTAACCTGATCTGTTGAGGACAACCATGTGATTTTATTTCACAGAGTGGAACTTTGAGTAATTTTAGTCTTAAGATTTATTTCACTTTAGTTTGGAATAAATATCACAAGCAATAATTTTTGTTTTGTTCTCAAATTATTTAGGTTAGGAGTTCTGATTCTACTTTTTATTTATTAATCTTTATTTAACAAGGCAAAACCCATCTCTTTTACAAGGGAGGCCCAGGGTCTGAAGACAACATGCACGGTTTGTAGGCATGGGTGTAATTTGTGTGGGGTATGGCGTTTATGGGGCTATGACCACCACAATAATTTGATACAGTCAATACACCCCTCCCCCAATAAAATTTATTTGGTCTGGCACAATAGAAATTAGATTAAGTACACAGCTGCAACTCTTGCTGTCTTTAGAAGTGAAGCAATCATTCAAATGGACATGAAAGTTGTTACATGTATTCTTCAAAGCTCACTTTCAGGACAGATACCGCTGCCCACGCAATATATTTATA